TGACTTAGCTCTTCTCAACAATACAATGAAACAAAACAATTACAAAAGATTCTGATGGAAACCTCTAAGCACAGCCAGAGAAAGAACTGATGGAATCTGAATGCAGATCGAAGCGTACTATTTTCACTCTTGCGTGTGTTTTTTTTTCTTTTTTTCTGTTTCTTCTTTCACAACATGACTAGTATGTACATATTTTACATCAATTGCACTTATATGACCTATATCAAATTGCCTACAGTCTTAGGGAGGAGGGGGGGAAGGGAAGGAGAAAATTTAAAACTCAAAACTTCATAAGAAATAAATGCCAAAAATTATTTTTACATCTAATTGGAAAAAAAAAACATGCTATTAAAAAATGAAAAAAATTAAAAAAAAAAGAGCTGACCTAGTTCAACTCTGATATAGCAAAACTATTAATATTCTTAATTTAAAACTGTATATATCATGAAGCAATCAGTTGGCCAATGACTTAAATGAGATCAAAGTAGTATGGGATCAGTACACATTTGCCTAGGATCACTGAATTCAATACAGGTGAAAACTGATCAAGCCCTTAAAGTCTTAAGTTGAGTCAACAGATCTCTCATGGATTAGATTTGTAAATAACATATAAATAATATATATGAAAAAACTTGTTAAGCTGTTGTGTACAAGCTGAATAATAAGTTTTATTAATTTTGACTTTTAGCCTAGGAAAAATATCATTAACTATTGGAAAAAGCTACTGGTTCTATAGTCAAAGGGAACTAGATAAAAAGCCCACCTCTGAAACTACTTATCTGTATGACTTTGGGCAAATCACTTAATCTCCCTAGGATTCAGTTTTCTCATCTCTAAGAGGAAGGATTATAATCTACATCAGTGGTGTCGAACTCAAATAGAAACAGATCCCCCCAAAAGCAGTTGACTTAGAAAACCACAAATTAACATTATCTAGTTGCACTATATTTTTATTTACTTTGTTAAACATTTCTTATTTAATTTTAATCTGGTTTGACTATATTTAGGAGTTTTGTCCTGAGTTTAACACTTCTGGACTAGATGACTATTGAGGTGCCTTCTAGCTCTGAAGCTACGATCCTAGTGATATATAACAATATATTTTTAATGATTCTGAACCATCTTTTACTAAGGTATCAGGGATAAGTAGTCCAATAGTCATAAAGACATAAATAATTCTGACAACCAATTAACCAATCTATGTTCCTCAAAGTACTTATGAGAGAATGTGGATGTCCCACATTTGACAGAATCCTTTAAAAAGTAATTCAAGTTGCAATTTTCATCATTTAATTACTAAAAAATCATAGCAACTAGCAAACTTACATCTAACAACAAAGAAATGCGAAATATACTGAAGTATTTTGAGATCTTAAGAAAGAAAACAAGAAATAACATCAAAGATAACTCAATACTGAAACAGATCTATGATTTCATTGATTAATATCTTTCGAATCACCCAGGTTTGCAACCTTGGCATAACTCTAATCTCCTCATTCCTTCTTTTTTAATGATAATCTTGTCATTTCTACTTCTACTAAATGTCTCCCTTCAGTCTTCTTCTCTTCACTCAAATAGACACTACTATAGTTTAGGCCCTCATTTCCTCTCAGTTGGATAATTTGAATAGCCTTTTTTCCCCACACCATTTCATCTTCAACAGAGCTGCCAAAGTGATTTTCCTGAAATTCAGATATGACTACATCACTCCCTTACTACTCAATAAAATTCCAATGACCAGTAAAAATCCCTATGACCTCTAAGATCAAATACAAAGACTTTTACAAGCTACCTTTCCAGATTTATTACATATTGTTCATTCATATACTCCCCAGTGGAGGATATGACTAGTAGCCGTCTTTCTGTCTGTCTGTCACTCACAGCACTCTAGCTCCCATCTTCATGCCTTTGCGCTAGTTGTTTCCCATGCTTGTAATGTATACCTCTTCACCTCTACTTCTTAGAATCCTTAGTTACCCTTAAAATTCAGTTCAAATGCCACCTTCTATGTGAAGCATTTCATGATCTAACCCCAACTAACAGTGCCTCCCCTAGACCCTCAAAATATCTTGTTTTGTACATATTTTGTATGAACATCTATATACATGCATATATGTATCTGTATATGTACATAGATGTCTATACAAAGTGTATAGAAATGTCCACACAAAATACAAAACATACACAATTATATATGTATATACGTATCTCCATTAAGTTCCTCAAGGGTGGATTCTATTTCACTTTTGTCACTGTACCTAGTAAAGTGCCCACACATAGTTGGCACTTAATAAATGCTTACTGATTAAATGACTTGTCAATGCCTGTCCATCCTTTTCATCAAAGAATTAAAAAGGAAAAAAACTAATTAAGGAAAAACAATTCAGGCCTATGATCCCTTTGCATAGTTAGTTAGTACAAACTAATAATCTTTGCCTTGATATGACAGATTAATCTTCAATAAATCAAAAAGACCATGGAAGACATCTACAAATCAAAAGGTAAAAGTACTGATATGATGATAAAGAATGTCATGATTAATTCCCTATGGCTATGTGAAACTGTACTCCCCTTCAATAAACAGGGGGCAAAAATTTTCCTATTCAAATAGCTGTATTTTGGATAAGAAAATAAAAACTAAACCCTTAATTATGTTTAAAAATTAACAGCCTAAATTTTACTTCTCATCTATAGTGGGTAATTTGAAGTCTCTTAATTAGCAATGCCCATATTCTTAACTTCCCCTTCCTGATCATTACCTCTCATCTGTTATCTCATTCTCTCCTAATACTTCCATTAAAAAAATAATAATCCCAATAGTCCTTTTCTTTAAAGATTGTTTCAAAATCATGTTGTCCAGAAAGTTTCCACAATTTAAGAAGATTTTTTAAAAAAGTATTTGTCAAGACTTCTATTCCACCTATTTCTGAAGGGAGTAATACCAAAATAAATATGCATGCAATACAGCCCAGAATTTACAAAAAACTGCAAAGAGTCACATAGCTATCAAGTGTCTAAGGCAAGTCAGGTCTTCCAGACTCCAACTCCAGTGCTCCACCAACTGCTTCACGTAGCTCCCTCTATTTAAAGCTCAGTTTAAATGACAAAAAACTAAGTATACTGGGATGCTGCTAAAATTACAATAGAGAGAGGAAGGGAAGAAAGGAGAGGAGAACAAGGAGTTAAGATGGAAGGGAGAAAGAAAAGAAGGAAAGGGAAGAAGAGAGGGGGAAATAAAGACAGGCAGTTCACTATTAATTATATATAAATGTAGTTCACTGGAAGTAAAGGGAAGTGGTTTGGAAACAAGCCAATGTTCTATAAAGATCCTTGAATTTCACACGGGGATTTCTTGACAGTTCTACTTATTGTCATAACTCAAGTATTTATATATGTGTGCACATATATATATATTACATATATAAACACACATAATTTGGATTCTGGCTCTAACCAGAATTTGATTTTTCTTTTATATGTCTTCAAGGGAAACAGAGGCATGATAATATTACAGGGAGTCTTAAACTGAAAATTCAAGAGATGATGAAGAAAAAGACAGGCAGAGTAGTTAATGGATAGGGGGCCCGAAGGAGTCAGGAGGACTTAAGTTTTGAATCCTGCCTCTGATACATACTGGCAAAGAGATCATGGAAAAGTCATTTAACCTCAGTGCCCTAGGCAATTTTTATGACATAATACATATAAATATATATGTGTGTGCATGTATATATTACAGATGAATTGAAAATCTTTATCAGTGAAGAGAGTTCCCACACCAGGAATTCCCTACACTGATAAAATCACAGGTTTAAATCCCTCACTTTAAAAAAAAAAAAAAGAAAGAAAAGGAAATTAGGCCAAAGATATAAATTTTAGTTAGCTCACATAAGAAAAGCATCTGATTCTTAAACTTTCAAAATATGAAACAAGACCTAGTAAATTACATAGAAAAATCTTCTGATTATTTTTAAAAATTGAAATGTACTACCATATTATATATGACATAAATATCAGCTAAAATAAATAGCAAAGAGGGGGCAGCTAGGGGGCACAGTGAATAGAGCTCTGGCCTTGGAGTCAGGAGGACCTGAGTTCAAATGGCCTCAGATACTTAAAACTTACTAAACTCTGCAAGTGACTTAACCCTGATTGCCTCACCAAAAAGCAAAAACAAAAAAAAAAAAAATAGCAAAGAGACAAAAGGAATTTCTGTAGTTATTATAAATGAAGAAAATCAGAATATGGATCCAACTACTATACAAAACAGCCCTAAATTTATCCCTGAAAGAACCCAGATCATCATCATAGCACTATTTTCCTCATTTCTCCTGAGTATATGTTAGGAAATGAGCCACTTATTAATTCTTTGAATGTATTATTATTTTTTTAAATCACAGTAATAGCAGAAAGGAGATGGAAGATCCACTTTCCATTTCTTTCCAAGAATTGATAGGCAAAAGTGAAGTTACCAGTTACAAAGGCATAATCATTTTGTACTTGGAAGAGCTTACCTGCATAATACTAATGCTATTAAATTTAATAGCCAAGATATGCAAAAGTCAGTTACCAGGAAAAAACTGATCATTCTTTTCCCACCTGCACACATTCCCGTACCATTATACATGCTATATAGGTGCAATAAAGTAAACAATAATTTTGCTTTCTCTGAATATTCAGAATATAATTTTTACAGGAAAAAATGTCAAAGGAGAGGAAGTTCTACATGAGAGTTATACTAGAGAATCCAATTATCTAAAGAAATATGGCAACTATATCTGTGGTATGGAGTAGATTATTACAAATTAGATTCATAGTCTATAATACAAATACTTAAGAAATCTGAATGCAAGGCAATTTTTTTTTGCTTTTAAGAATCTGAAAAAAAAGACACCAAACATAAGAACTGATGACTATACTCTAACCTCAAAATTATTTATTCATCTAGAATAAGGAAGCAAGTAGAACTGAAACATGTTTTACTTTTATTTTTCTTAACCAACCTTTAGCTGGTGAAAAAGTGTGAGAAGCAAGTGAATCTGTGCAAAGTTCCAGTGGAAATTGTAGAAGTTCTTCATTGTCAGTAGAAGCTTGAAGAAAGAAAAGTATTTTACTTATTAATACTGTATTATTAGTGAGTAATCAATCAACAAGTATACCGTCAGGTTCTATGCTATATATAAAAGTACTGGTGAAATAAGAACAAAATAAAATAGTCCTTTCCCTCGAGGAGCTTACATGGTAAGGAGGAGATAACATGTACATCTATCATCATATAACTAACCTCATTTTTGTGGCTATACTCCTTAAGAAGACCATATACAATAGGTGTGTCTACTTCCTGTCCTCCCATTCTCTTAACCCTTTGCAGTCAGGCTTCTGACCTCATTCATTTAATTGAAAATTCTCTCTTCAAAGTTACTAATGATCTCTTAATTGCCAAATCAATTGGCAAAGTTAATTTAAGTTTAATTTAGCCTTTTCTCAGTCTTTATTTTTTTTTTAACCTCTCGGCTGTCTTTGACACTATCAATTACTCTCTCCTCCTGATATTCTCTTCTCTTCAGGTTGCCAAAACACTGATTTAGCTGGGTTCTCCTCCTTCTGTTCTGACAATTCTTTCTCAATTTCCTTGGCTGGATCTTCATCCAGGTCACACCTTCTAATCATGGATGACCCACAAAACTCTGTCCGGGGACCTCTTCTTTTTTCCTTCGATACTATTTTGTTTGGTGATCTCATCATCTCTATGGTGTCAGATGATGCTATTTATCCAGCCCTAACCTCTCTATTGACCTCCAGTATATCACATCTCCAAATGACTATTAGATATCTTGAACTGGATGGCCAGTGAACATCTTAAACTCAACACATCCAAAACTGAACTCATTACTTTTTGCCTCTCGCCCCCTCTCCTGCTCCACTCGTAACACTTCACTATTATGGCTGAGAACATCATCATCCCAGTCACCCATGCTCAAAATCTAGCTAGCATCCTCAACTCTTTATGCTCCCATACGTCCTATATCTAATCTTTTGCCAAGTCCTTTTGATTTTATCTTTGTAGTATCTCTCGTATATGTCCCTTTCTTTCCTCTGACACCTCCTCCAACCTGATGCAAACCTTCATCAGCTCAAGCCTGGACTAATGCAATAGCCTGCTAGTTGGTTTCTGTTGCCTCAAATCTCTCCCCACCTCTGGCCATTCTCCATTCTCAGTTGTCAAATTGATTTTTCTAAAGCCCCTATCTGACCATGTCAAACCCTTATGCAATAAAATTCCAGGAGCTCCTTATTACTGACAAAATCAAACAAAAAATTCTGTTTGACTTTTAAATGTCTTAACCCAGACCATTCTACCTTTCCAGTCTTCTCTAACCTTAACCCCCATCCATCACGTACTCTGCCATCCAGGGACACTGGTCACCTTGCTGTTCCTCACACAAGACACTCTATATCCCAATACAAAGCATTTTCTCTAGCTAGTCCCATTATCTGGAACTCTCCTTCCTCATCTCTATGTCCTAGCTTCCCGAGATTACTTCAAGCCTCATGTAAAGTCTCACCTTCTGCAAGAAACCTTTCCCAGTCCTCCTTAATGCCTTCCTTCTAAGACTACCCTCATTTTGTTCTGTACATGTCTTGTTTGTATGTTGTCTTCATCATTAGACTGTGAGCTCCTTTTGCCTTTCTGCATTTCCAAAGGGCTTAGCCCCATGCCTAACACACAGTAGGAGCTTAGTAAATGGTAGCTTACTGACTGAATGTACAGATAAAAGCATATACAAGATAAATATAATGTGGGAGGAGGAACCATAAGCAGCTGAAGGGATCAGGAAAGGCTCCATGTTGAAGGCACCACTTGGGCTACTTGAAGGAAATGAGGAATTCTAAAAGATAGAGTTCAGAAGGGAGTGCATTCCAGGCACGAAGGAGAGCCAATACAAAGGCATGGGAGATAGATTGTTGTGTGTGAGTAACAGCAAGTAGGTCAGTTGGCTGGAATAGAGAATGAATGAAAGGGAATAAAATAATAATCAAGCAACTGGGAATTCAGGTATTTATTTTGGATAATATAAAGTAAACTAAAACACGTATATGTATTAAAGAGATATATTATGGTAATAACAGTGCAGTAGCAGTGCTCTTGGACTAAGACTTTCAAAGTTAGGCCCTGGGTTGTACAAGATTAATTTATTTAAGATGTTTTCCATCTGCCTTCCACAATTTCCCATCTATTCCACCTTAGGAATAAATGCCAGCATTTATCTTCACTACTGATAGCTTATTTTGTTATTTACTGCCTAGCTTCTTTCGTAACAATTTTAATCAACATTTTTAATATGTTCTAGTATTTGGTACTAGCTCAAATCAAAAATGAAAATGTGAAACTCCTATAGGCTTAGGACAATGTAGGGAGATGAAAAGTGACATTTCCCTTAGCAGATAAAATCATAAAATTTTGGGAAAATAAAGATTCATTTCCCTGTATTTTGATTATGTAAGGAATTGTTAGTAACTCTGGTTTCTTTCAGATTACCTAAAGTACAGTCAAAATGTTTTAAGGACATGGTTAATGTTGCTATAATCTTGGTCTCTCAGTGCACTGAGTCATTTCTCAAATTTGGCTAATAAGCCATGTACCTCAGTGTAGTTCCCCTATTTTCACAAAAGTCTTTACAAAATCTATTAAGTTTTATCTTTTAAAAAATATTTATTTTTAAATTATTTTAAAATGTTTATTTTTAACATTTTAAGATTGAGAGGCAGAATGGCATAATGGATAAAGAGTCAACTTGAAAGCCAAGAAGATCTGAGTGCCAGTCCTACCTCTGATACACACTAGCTTTGCAACCCTGGACAACTTATTTAATCTCTCAAATGTAAGCTGCAGAAAAGGAGAGAATTTGAAGAGGGAGCTTCTTCACCCAGGAGTTTCCTGTACCAACGAAATCAAATCCTTTAAGACTATCTTAAGCAAAATCTTATGAATAAGGTCAATTCCCTCCATTCTCTTCTCTACTCAATTGCATTCTAAAATATAAATAAAAATAGGTTTTGAATTATCCACATTACCGCTGAGGAACACTATAACAGATAATTAACAGTTAACTATCTAGAGAGTGAAGAAAAAGAGGATTAAAGTTATTCTTTAATTCTAATTCTAATGCTTAGAATGATCCAAACAAGTTAGCTACTTCATCTATTTGTCTTCTAATTTTTATCAGTAAATAATGCATTTCTGGTAAGCAAATTAATTCTTATCCTTCAAACGTTTACCTCTTTGTAATGACTTTTCCACATGAGTTTTTGTGGTTTGTACAGCTTGATGTTTGTCAAATGTTATTGCAACTGCTGTGACCGTGACCTGCAATGATGAGAGTAATATCAATGTCCGTATCAATTCATTAAACTTTTATTAAACACTTATTATGTGACAAATCGTGCTAGGTACAGAAGCAACAAAGATAAACAGAGCATGACTTTAAAGAGTTCACAGAATCATGGGGAAGATGTGGTAAGTATACAAATAGGTCATCATATAAAACAGAATGCAATAGGGGCAAAGGTGAGATGTAGAAGAGCCAGGCAAAGTCTTAGAGGGCTTTGGAGGAGAGGTCACTTTCCATAAGGTAAATGATGGAACACTTCTTGTGGAAAGAAAGTCGTATTTTAGCATTGTATCTTGGAGGAAGGATTTCAACAAACAGGAATGAATAATATTTTAGATGGGGATAGCTAGGTGGAACAGTGTGATAGAGTACTGGGCTTGGAATTAAGAAGACTCATCTTCATGGGTTCAAATGTGACCTTAGACACTTTATTACCTGTGTGACCCTGGGCAAGTAACTTAACCCTCTTTGCCTCATCAGGTTCCTCACCTGTAAAATATGCTGGAGAAGGCTATGACAAACTACTCCCATTATCTTTGCCAAGAAAACCCCAAATGGGGTCATGAAGAGTCAGACACAACTGAACAACTACAAAAAACGTTCTAGATAAAATGGACAGTCTGTGTGAAGGCTGGAGAGGGAAGATCTAGAACAAGAACAAGTACTCTTCTTAGACTAGAGTACAGAATAAATGGAAAAAAAAAAGGAGTGAAAAGTAATGCTGAATAACTGCCTGGAGGCAGTCTATGGAAGTATCTGTATTTTATTCCATAGGCAAGGAGTCACTTGAGGTTTCTGAGCAAATACTTTGGAATGTCTATAAAAGATCAACTAGAAAGAGTAATTATTGTGGAAGCCAAAGTGACCCCCTTGATAAAAGCCCAACTTGAATACCTCACCGTGTTGAGGGCAAGCTATATCCTAACGCATGGGAAAAAAAAAACCATGACTGCTCAGTGTTGGAGAGTTATGAAACCTCATGGAAAATGAGAAGGGTTTCACAGGATCAGGGTAAAGCAAGTATTCCAATTTAAAAAAAAAAAAGTTGGAAGAGAAAGGATTCTGCCAACTATGACAGTGTGACAATTAATGCCTGATAAAACTTTAAAATATATTATCAAAAGGTAGCAGTAATAAAAGACAGCTGGTTTCATCAAGAATAGGCTAAGCCAAATACATTTCTTATTTTTTAAGACAGGATTACTAGACTTGTGTATCAGAAGGCTAAAGACATAGTGTCATATTCAGTTCAGTGAACCACATTTTAGGAGTACATCAAGAACCTAGAGAGCATCCTGATGAAGATGAAAAAGATAGGAAAGGGATTCAAGACCAGACCATATACTAGACAAATGTGCCTAAACTTTTACGCAGTATTTGACCAAGATGCTGTTCTGGTCAACAAGATGGAGAGGTTCGGATGAGACAATAGTGTATATATAGTTAGACAGATCTGGACCCAACTGAATAACTGGATAGAAAGAATAATTATTAATGGTTTAATGTCAATTTGGACGATAATTTCTATTGGAATGCCCTATACATCTCTGCCTAATACTGGGCAGTTTAACATTTTTATCAACTACATTGATAAAGACATAGTGGCATGCTTCTCAAGTCTGCACAAAACATTAAGGTAGGAAAAATAGCTAACACGCTGGATTAAAGAGTGAGAATACAAAAATATTTTAATGGGGTAGAAAGTCAGGCCAAAACTATGAAGATGAAATTCAACAGGAATAAAATTAAAGTTTTAACCTTGGGTTCAAAAAATCAACTTCATAAGTACAAGATGGGGGAACTCTGGCTAGTCAGCAGCTTCTCTGAAAAACTTTGAAGGTTTTATAGACTGTAAGCTTAATAAGTTTACTATGATAGAGACAACCAAAAAAGCTAATGTGCTCTTGAATTACATTATTTTTCTGATGAGACTAATGATTTCAATGGTGTAGGGAACTCCTAGTAAGAAAACTATGTCTATTAATGCAGATGGCCACCTTCTTTGCAACTTTCTTATGCTGAATTTAGAGACAGATATTACCTTGGACTTGGGTGGTCTTGATTAGAGCATTATCTAGAGTATGATGTTAAGTTCTAGGAGCCACATTTTATGAAGCATGTTCTTAAGTTGGACAACATCCACTAGTAGACAACAAAGTCGGTGAAAGGTTTCTTGGTAACATAATTTGAGAATTGGTTGAAAGAACTAGAGATGTTTAGGCCAGAGAAGAAAAGATTTAGGAGTCACATGACAGACATTTTCAAATATCTGAAAGACTATCACATAGGAAAGTAAAGATTAGACTTGTTAATCTTGGCCCTGGAAGGATATCTAAAAGTGGAATAGGATACCTCAGTAAGTAATGGGTTCCCCTACACTAAAAGTCTGGAAAAAAGAAGGTGGGGTGGTTACTTGTCAGATATATTGAAAAAGAGATTATTGTTTAAGTATATGTTGGACTAAGTGGACTGTTGATTCTCTTTATGACTTAGAGATTATACAGATCCGGAGAGGACCCTCACTGAATTATTAAAGGTTATACCAAGAAAATATAAATTCTGGTGGGTTCTGTCATGTTAGAAAGACTTCAAGTCGCATCAATCGATATTTCTGTTGTTGTTGAGTCATTTAAGACATGCTCGACTCTTCATGACCCCATTGGGAGTGATCTTGGCAAAGAGACTGGAGTGGTTTGCCAATTACTTCTTGAGTTCATTTTACAGGTGAGGAAGCAGAGAAGGTTAAATGACTTTCCCAGGGTCACACAGCTAGTAAATGTCTGAGGCTGGATTTGAATTCAGGAAGAGGAGTCTTCCTAACTCCAGTTCTGGCACTCTATCCACTGCGCCACCTCATGCCCCACAAATTGACATAATGAATCTGTTGTTAGATGGCTTTATTAGCTTAAAGTAAATAGGTATATGGCCATTTGGTGACAAATTATTTGGCCATGGCAATTCATGAACAACAAAAAAAAATGCAGGAGCAAAGGATTCTGGTGTGAAAGACAATAATTTCTAATTTATAGTTCTTACTCATCTTTTTAAATACAAAAGTACAGAAAAGGTCAGTGACAAAGGTGTAGGAGTGATATAAAGAAAGTCCCTATATAAACTAAAACATATAGCACTTATTGTGGTAATAAAGAACTGAAAACAAAGTAGATGCCTATTTCCTGAGGAATGGCTTGTGCTGCAAGAAATAATGAATGTGATAAATACAGACAGAAGCATAGCAAGATTTACATGAACCAATGCAGAGTGAAGTAAGAGCCAAGAAAACAATATACAAAATGTAAACAGGAAAAGCAACTGCCAAAAAAAAAAATCAAAAGTGAAAGTAACAAAATTATAAAGAACAAGAATGGCTTGAAAGAAGAGATATGACAGGACACCTCCACCTGCTCCCATCCTTTTGTAGATGTGGGAGATCCACAACTTGTACACAGCACATGTTTTAAGATATTTTTCAATGTATCTGTCAGTTATTCTGATTTTTCCTCTTCTTTTTTTTTGTTTTTAAAATTATGATTAATTATATGTGATAACTTTTTGGAAAAGGAACAGGGAGTAATCTTGGGGAAAATTATGGTGATGTAAAAAACCAAAAGATATTAATAAAAATGTATATATAAACAAAAAGAAGAAAAAGAAAACACATAAAAACTTACTTTTTTAAATACAAAAAGTAGACAATATAATTTTAAACAATACTGGAAATAAATACATAAACTAAGAAAACATGTAAATTTTTCATAGACTGACCTCGTTTAGAACTTTAGTCAGTAAACTACATACATTTATATATTGTGATTGATATGGATGAAGTACCATATAGACTTATAAATATATATGTTCCATAGGAGTTGTAAGGAACTAATTCCTCCATGGGAAAAGAGATAGGCAAAATCTCATCAAACAGTAATTGTGTAGACTGATATAATGGAATCTCTCCAGCAGGTATGCCACTGGGTGCCAAAGGTGGCTGAAGTCCAAATAAAAGTATTTTCACTATATCTACAAAACAACTATTTCTAATTAAAATATGCTCAAACAATTTTGAGATGAATAGTTAGTCTCTACAACATGTATGTGCATATATGTGAATTATATTGCACCAAAATATATATCATTATATACATTTATACACTTAGAGGATAAAATGGCCAACCATTCCCGAGAAAAACTTCCAAGAAAATCTCATCCCATACAGAGTCACAAAGAGTCGTACAAAATTGAATGACTAAACAAGAATATTTATATACTAATGATAAAATATCCCAAACAGAACTCCTGGAGACACTTTACATAAATTAGCTGAATCTTAATTACCTGAATTAATTCATCTTCAGGAAGAGATACTGTAAAATTGACATGGCAAAGGCAGCAGGGTATCATAGAACGAAGTTTAAAATACAGGCTCTATCAAATAAAAAATATCAATCACTTTATTTTATCTGTAAGTCTGTAAAATATGTTTCTTGATCTTATATTTTGTTCTGGATAGTGGAAAAATTAAAAGATTAAAGCCTAGCCTTTTTATTATATCAAATTTTAAAATAATATAATTTTAACTTAAAAAAAGCATTTTTAATTTAAATTTATATTTAGAAATTTGCCAGTAAGTCTACTAAAAATGTGAAGACTGAAGAAATGCATATTTTATTATATTATAAGTTTAAAGCAACTTAATAGTTATAATTATTCTATCTCAACATCATATTATGAAGTATAGATTCTGATTTTATCATCAGAATATTTAATAGTTACATGTGAAAATTGAAAACCACAGAATAATTTAATCAATTTTTTGAGCCATAAGGAAGATTTAAGATCACCTAGACTAACACATTAATTTTACAGATGGAGAAACTGAGGCCAAAAAAGGCAAGACAAAAACCCAAATCTAAGTTAAGAACTTACTTCTATGATTTGCTATCGTTATTATGACTATTCTAAAAGTTCACCTGTCATCCATCTCCCAATAGCATATGTACAACACTTACAGCAGATATCTTCCTCCACTCCTTAAACCTAATCTGTATAATCAGCTACTCACTTCCTACTTCTTGACTGTCTCATCTTATCTCCCTTCCTCCATAATATCCGTATCTTTGGTCCCAAATCTTCCTACATACTCAGTGAAATATTCTAGCATTATTTTTTTCATATGTCCTCAATTTCTACCTCTCTACTGACTACTTTCTATCTACCTACAAATAGGGTGAAGTCTACCACATCCTAAAATAACAATAATAAAATTATTCCTTTGATCTTTCTACTCCAGTCAGCTGCTTTTCTCCTTACTAATAAGCTTTTTCTGGGGAAAAAAAATCTGCATCTTATGCCTATACTGTTTAGTCTCTCTCTCTCACACACACACACACTCACTTCCCAACTCCTTACAATCTGATCACCTAATCACAGAATCTAAGACCACCTTCTTGTTTGTCACATGGACCAATTTGGCCATCATTCTTGGTGAAGTCTGTGATAACTTTTCTCAGAAGAATTCAAATGTTTAAAATAAAATACAAAGTATTACAAATGAAACCAATTTTTAAAATATTTTTCAAAAACAAATTCAAGGACCTAAGTTAAGAACGCTTTATAAGAATACCAAGAAATTTGAGGCTACCTAATATACCCTTTACTTAAAAAAGAATCTCATCTACAACATTATCAAAAACTTATCCAATCTTCTTCTGCAGACCTCTAGTGAGGGGGAAACCACTACAACAACCTAGGCAGGTAATTCTATTTGCTAGGAAGATTTTACTTACATGGAACCTAAATCTGGCTCTCTACAACTTCTACTCATTGTTTTGAGGTCAAGAACAATAAGTCTAATCTCCTTCCCACATGAGAGCTCTTCAAACAAGTTGGGATAGCTGTCATGTCCCCCGTATGACTTTTATATCTAAACATTCTCAGTTTCTTCACATCACAGTCTTGACTCTACTCACTATTCTAGTTGCCCTCTTCAAGATGGTCTCCATTTTATCAATGTCCTTTCTAAAATATGGTACCAGAAATAAACACAATAATCCAGACATGGTCTAACCAGAGCAGAGGACTATGGGATTTTCTCCCTCTCATGTTCTGCAAGCTATGCCTCTCCAAGAAGCCTAATATTACATTTGTTAGTTTCCACGTAGCACTGAGGACCTGTGTTACCAGTCACCTAGATTAACAGAACTCTTTCTACAAACCATCTTTCACACTGCTATTTAGGTATCTTTCTCATTTCTTGATCTAATTGTGTCATTTCTCTGTTCAAAACCTTCCAATGACTCCCAAGTGGAAACAAAGTTCAAACTCTTTAGATGATCATTTAAGGTTCTCAGCAATTTGGCTCCATCCTACCTTTCTGCCCTTATTTCAAAGAACACCTTTTCACACATTCTATGTTCCAGTCAAACTAGACTGCTTGCTATACCCCATATAAGTGTACCTCTATATTTTTCTACCTCCATGGCTTGACTCACATGGCTCTCTAAACCAGCAATATATTCTCCATGATTTTTCATTCCAAATGTTTAACTCATTTTGATCTTTTAAAAGCCCAACTCAAAAGTCGCTTCTCTCATGAAGCCTTCCTTAATGCCCCAAATAGGTAACGACCTTTCTTATCCTTTAACTTCACAATGCCATTTTTGTACCTTTCTCATATACTTTTCTTGTATTATTTTTAATCGTAGTTATTGTTGTATGCATCATATCCTCCAACAAAACTATAAGCTCTATGAGAGCATGGACCTTGTCTTATTTACATCTAAGCTTGGTACTTCACCCAGAACTGCATAGAGTACTTGCTTAATAAATCTTCCCATTTATTAATATTTATAGGACAAATTGTGAGGTAGTGGAAAAACTAAAAAACTTGGAGTCAGGAAAGATCTGGCTTCAAAAATCCTACCTCTTCAAATACCTACTAGACATGTAACCATGGACAAGCCATTTAACTTCACTGTACCTCAGTTTTCTGTAAAGAGGGGATAATGATATCTAAACTATTCAGCTCACCAGGTTGTGGAGAGGAATATAAAGAGAAAATAAATTACTTTGGAAATGTTTAATTTGAACATTCCCTCCATCAATGCAGAGCATAATCAACCCACGCCTTCTTATTCTATGTGATTCTTGTCCATGTTCACCTATATATCCTCCACAAAACCAAAAGCCAAGGTGCTAGAAGCTTTCCATTCATAATAATACATTTCACAGTGCAGTTCAGAGGCTGTCCATTATCTCTCACTACATAAACAACCCAACTCCTTTTGTGATCATGAACATGTTTCTCTCGTTGCTCTTTCTATCATTCTATTACTCTATAATTTGGTAACCTACAATGTAAATGTCTACTGTTATTAATGTTGGTTGAATTTGCTGAATTGACTTCTGTATAATTCAGCTTTCTCAGACTGCCTCTTATTATACCAAAAAAAGTTCAGAGAAACTTTAACACGTTTTCCAGTTCCATGCTTTGAATAGTTTTTAAATACCTAGAGCAGGATTTGGAGTCAGAGGGCTTGAGTTCAAATCTCTTTTATGCTACTTATTGTAACCTGTGGGATGTTTGGAAAGACACTGAGTCTCTGGGACTCAGCTGAAAACCTGTAAGGCCCCTCTAAGCTCTAAACACTTTGAGCCCACAATATAATCAGCAAAAAAAATTTCCTACCTTGAGCAAGTTTTCACAGAGATCATTAAAGTTCTTATTGAGTGTCTGATTTGTCAGGTTAATGTTGCTTAATCTGGATACTCTTACTGAAGTGAACATCTAAATAGAAGAAATTAAGGCATGTTTAAATTTAAATATGATGACAACCTGTAAAAAATGAAATGGTAACAACTGATGACATGCTACATAGAAGAAAAATTTTAAATGACAGTTATTCTATTCATATCTAATACATACAGGATAGAGTAATGGCATTATTCATATGGCCTACTTTAAAAAATAAGGAAATCTGAAAGTTTTACCTGTATTTCAGATGTCCAATTATTGATGCCAGGCATAATTTCTGTATTGCAGCTATAAAAGCCTGCCACCAAAAAAAAAAATTGGAGTAAGAAATAAAATACACTGCATTTACATTCACGTTAAAGTGTAGCATGTTTTGAAAATTATAGACTGGGAATTTCCCAATTACATTTAAAATTACTATTTTCATTCTCTGAAAATAGTAGATTGGTTTAGCAGTAGATCGGTGTTTATCCATTCCTCCTACAAACTTATTTCTGCTGAGGGCAGTACCATCCTTCTAATTATCCAAGTTCACAAGCTCAGAGATATCCACAAATTTTCATTCTCCCTTACCTTCCCATATCCAATAAGGCAGGTTCTACATCCACAACATATCTTAACTAAATCCTTTCCTCTTCACTCACAAAACAACCATGCTAGCTACGGCCCTCATTACTTCTTACCCAGAGGTACCTAGACTACTTTAAGAGCTTTCTAATTAGTCCCCTAGCCTCAAATTTCTCCCCTTTCCAATCCATTCTCTACACAGCTCCCAAACTGACATTCCTAAAACAAAAGTCTGACTATGTCATTCTCTCGCTCACCTGTCTTCAATGGCTGCCTCTCACTGCTAGGACACAATATGCAGCTCTCTATCTGACATACAAAACTTTTCAACATCTAAGTTCAGTCAGTGTTTCAGGTTTATTACTCATTCCACAATTTCAAATACTCTGTACTCCAACCAACTGGCCCATCTCCCATTTCCATGCCTTTGCAAAGGCTATGTCCCTCTTATTTGACTACTTTTCCTTACCTCTGCTTCTTAGGATCCCTAAGTCTCTTCAAAGCTCAGCTGAAGGGTCACCTCCAGGATTAAGCATTTCCTCACCCCCTCATATTTGCTAGTACTATTCACCCTTATACAAATTACCTCTTACATATTGGGCTATTTTCTGCAATGGAATGTAAGCTCCTTGAGAAGCTCTCAATATTCCCTTTGCATGGTCACCCCTAGCACAGTGACTGGCATGGAACAGGTACTTAATTCATGCCTGATGAACTGAAAACTGCAACTTTCACCCAATTCTCCCCTCTGGAGCCAAGAAGAACAACTGTACTACCTCTTCCATATGACAACCCTACAAATACTTGAAAACCGCCATAAACCCCCTGCTCCCCAAGTCTTCCTCATAAAAATCTCTAAGCTTTATAAAACCATGCCATACATTCCTTTTCTGTTTCTTCCCCAAAGCTTAGCAACAGGCTCAGTGAGTAGTTGTTTGTTCAGTACATGTTTGTTGCTGGATTCCTTGCAAACAAAAGTAATGAATGAAGGTAAACAGTTATCTCAAAGAACAGATTCTAAATACCATTTTATTTGAAAGGCTAGTAAAAAAAAATTTCTTAGTACTGAGCAACACAACACAATTTTCAACTCAAAGTTCTAAAGAACAAAGATGCAAAATTTTCTTAATGTATTCTTTCAAAGATGGAAAATAAATATTTACATTACTGCTACACAACATCCAATCTAGTTTTCTGCACACAGCTGGAACTCAATAAATATTTGTTGACTAAAAAGACTGCATCTCTTTGGCCATAAATTAAAGACGCTATATATTAAATATATCTGAATCTTTGGGAATATTTACTATTCTAACATTGTGGTCCACTAGGCAATGTTTACATAATAAGGACATTTTTTTGTAAAGACTGATTTTTTCCAAAATAAGGATCATGATTTCAGTTGTTTCTTACTCTTTAGAAAATACTTATATCAACAGATGTGATCCCTATTTTTTTACCCCTAACATTTTCATATATTTAAATTGCTGTCCAGATAATTCTTCCATCTACCACACTCTTTTCCCTATATATTTTACCAGAATCACTAATTTCTCCTTATCATGGTATCACAAAGATACGTTCAGAAGGACTCTCCTAGTCCAGCTCCTTCATTTTATAGGTATACCTCAAATGATGTTGTAACAATAATATGATTAAGATGTTACAAACCACCTTCACCATAATATCTCGCTAATCTTCCTTTAGGTTCACTAGTCAATTGTCTGAGACTGGGTAGGATCAGCATTCCCCTCTCATCTAATCTAACTATTAAAATCAATTTATCAATAAAAGCATTATAAAATGAAGCATAAAAAACTAGGAAATACTTTAAAATAAAAAATAAAAAAATAAGATTTTTTTTTTACCTGAAGGTGGAGGAACATCTGTAAGTAAAGAATGTACATCTTCCATGGCATCTGTGTCATCAATCTTAAAATAATTTATGAATCTGATTAAAATAGCAAATAATACATAACAAAATACAAAATAAAACCTCAAAATTATCTTAAATGTTGAAAAACAGAATTTCCTCATGAAATGACCATTTTTTTTCTTCCAGAGGTAAGACTTCTGCTTAGAAACAGGAGGGGTAAGATATGTGGCTGGAAAGAGATGCAACCAGCTTGTAAAAGAATCCTGTTGGAAATGGGGTGCCAAGAACAATTATGGAGGAAAGTGTTAAGGTCAGATCTGTGTTTTAGCAAGATTATGTCGGCAGTTGAATGGAGGACGGGTTAGAGAACAGAAAAAAGACAAAAGGGTAACACAGAATGAAAAGGTCTAGATGCGTTCTAACACACTCTATCAAAGAGAATGAGTACTAACATCAACAATATCACAGAATCACAGTACCTCAGAGGCCTTCTAGTTTGACTTACTTTAAAAATATCCCTCCAACAACATACCTGACAAACGGTCATCTAGCTTTTCCCTAAAGAAGGGAAACCTTTTTCAAAGTAACCCATTCCATTTTAGAATAGATATAATCATTAGGAAGTTTTTCCTAACATCATATCCATGTGCCTCTTCAAAACTTCTATCCATTGTTCCTCTTTCTGCTTTTTGAAGGCAAGCAGAACAAGTTTAATTCCTCTTTTATACAGTAGGCTTATGATCCTTCTCCTCAGGTGGTCTGTTAATATACTCTAAGTGACAATATCAATTTTATTTCTGCCCTATTAATCCTGACTCAAATGCTAGCCACTGTTTTTTCTCTCTGTTTCTGAATTTTCTCATGTAAGAAAATCTTTATCTCTCTACCTCTTAATTATTGTGTTTCCAATTAAGATTTTTGCATTAGGGCAATCTAACTGCCAAGCAAAGGTAGATCTGAGAAAGCTAATATCATATCACAATAAAAGGCACACCATGAATAAATTTAACCTCATTTAGAAGCCCTCCAGGAACTGACTGAACCCATAGAATGTTAAATACATAAGACACATAGTTGATTTGTTGGACCCATTTGCCACGAGTGTTATCTACAACAGCTACAAATAAGAATGGTGGGGGCTAGAGAATGTTTATATAAGATGAAGGGCAAGGGAAAGTTTTCAATTACCTACAAAGAATTCACTTATTGTGGTGTTTCAGTCAGTGTAAAATATAAGCTCTATATGTACAAAGCATAAGTTGGTCACTCTCCCAGAGAAACAGGTATACCAATGTAATGGAATATTACTGTGTGATAAGAAATGATGACCATGAAGAAGAAAACATGGGAAGACTTATGAACTGATGAAAAGTAAAACAAGCAGATTCAGGGAAACAATATACACAATAACTACAATAAAAATGGAAAGAACAAAAATCTATCACTGTAATTATAATGACCAAACTTATACCGAAGAAATTAGCAAATATTCCTCCTTCCTTCCTCTGCAGAAGTGGAGGTTTATGGATTCAGAACACTGCATATATTGCCAGACTCATCTGAGGCATTGATCAGTTTTGCTGAATTGATTTTTTTCCTTTTTTTTATTCTTGGCTTACAAGAGATGGCTCTCTAGGTAGGGATGGAGGAAAGAATAACTTTTAAAATGAAAACGGAAAAACTAAAGATAGCCATAAAAACAAAAGTGAGAAACAATGTAATACAGGAAGACGTGCCAAAGTCTAAAGAAGTGCACATGTCTCAGTGTTTTAAAAAGAAAACAAAGTGTCATTTGCAAAGTACTGACCTGTAAAGCTTGACTTCAATCCCTGGCAAAATTCTAGAATATATTATTCAAGGTTGACTAGCGAACATCCAGTAAAGGAAATAGTGATGAAAAAGAAATGCTGTGGGTATAGCATGAAAAATTATTTCTAGGTCATGTTGCTCTGTTTAAATGTTTTACTTTGTTATAAGGATGGGAGACATGGGTAGAACAGGATTAATGGGAAATGACTTACACAGTTTAAATACAAAAGACAACAAAACTTATTCCTTTTAAAGCCAGCATGTTTTTACCAATGCCATTTCAGACTAACCTTAAGACTAATCTTCTGTTATAACAGGATTTTTAATACTAATAGATAAGGTGAAGGCTACTGACTATAATTTACCCAGAATTCAACAAAGCATTTACATTGTCACACCTTTCCTGTGGGCAAGAGTAATATGGGCTAGTGAAACAAGCAAAACAAGGTCAAATGGCTTCTGAACCATTTGAATGACCCAAAATTAATGAATCAGCATCAACATGGTAGATCTTTTGAATGTAGTGCCTCAGGGGTCTGTCCTTGGTGCTCTGTTGATTAATGTTTTCATCAATGACTTAAATAAAGACATAAGAGGACATGCTTTTCAAATGCACACGAGTCAAAGCTAAGACGAAATATTAACATGTTGGATGACAGATTCAGGATCTAACTTTTGAAAGGCAAGGTCTTTCTTTGATAGGCTCGGTCTTTAATAGGTTAGGGACTACATCAAATCTAATAAGATGAAATTTAACAGTAAATGCAAGGTCTTACATTTGAGCTTTAAAAAAATTAACTTCAGGGGCAGCTAGGTGGCGCAGTGGATAGAGCACTGGCCCTGAAGTCAGGAGGACCCGAGTTCAAATTTGACTTCAGCCCAAACACTTGAAACTTACTAGCTGTGCGACCCTGGGCAAGTCACTTAACTCCAATTGCCTAAAAATTAAAAAAAAATTAGAAAAAAAAATTAACTTCACAAATATAAGATGAGGAAGGCATTGCTGGACAGTAATTTATCTTGAAAAGTTCCAAACACTTTAGTGGACTACAAGATGAATGACTCAAAAGTGTGATACAGCAGTCAAAATATTGAAGGAAGGAAGGAAAGAAGGAAGGAACGAAGGGACAGAAGAGAGAAGAGGGAGAGAGGGAAGAAGCATTTATTAGGTACACCAGGCACTGAACTAAGTTCTTTATAATATTATCTCCTTTGATCCTCACAACAATTCTGAGAGGTAGGCTACATTAAAAGGGGCACGGTATCTAGAACAATAGATGTGATACTCTAACCTGATAAATCTTTATCTGGTACTACATTTTAGGAAAGAAATTGATAAGATAGAGAGTATCCAGAGCAGAGACCAGGATCATAAAAGTTCTCATGATCATACCACATGATGAGTGGTTGAAGGAATTGGGAATGTTTAGCCACTGGGGGACCTTGCCTAGAGAAGATTTTTTTTCGATGAAGGGTGGCTGTCTTCTAATATTTAAAGAGCTATTGAGGAATTGGGATCAAATCCTCTCTGCTTGTTCTCAGAGGGTAGAAGTATGAGCAATAAGTAGAAAGCTAAAAGAAGGCAGATTTCAACTTGATGTAAGGAAAAAGCTTCTTTAAAATTAGATGTGTCCAAAAGTACAGCGAGCTGCCTCAAGAGGTTCTGGGTTCCCTTTCAATAGAGGTCTTCAACAAAGGCTGGATGAGCTGTTGCTGATGTTGTAGTGGCAATTCTTATTAACAAAAACAAAAAAAAGGTTAGCCTAAATAGCCTCTGTGGTCCCTTCTATTGTTGCAATTCTGTGATTCTGAGAACTAGTACAGAGTCATATTTAGGGTACAAATAAATGAAAAGGCATTTTAGGTGCTTACCATATGCAAAGAACTGTACTAAGTGCTGGGGACACAAAGAGAAAAAGACTGTTCCTGCTCTCAAAAAGGTCATATTCTAACAGGGGAAGGCATCATTATATAGGAGTTTTCGGCTAAAAGCTGGATGGAAAGACCTAGTGATTCTTAGGTTACAGTGGCAAGGCAGATGATAATGCGGTTTTAGTGTGATGCATTTTTAGTGTAATTTCCTTTAATAAAATCCTATCAAATTTTGATATTGAACCATTTGACAGTAGCCAAGGATTCTGGCATAGAGAACTTTCTTTTCTTAGTCTTTAGTAGGTATGGCTGCTGAGGAGGGAGGGGCTGTAACACTGCACAGGCAGTTGTCAGGCTGCATCTCCTGATTAGGAGTTACTTCCCTGGACAATGCCTGCTTGGGAGGAGGGGAAGGACTTGGGATAGGGAGAGAGACTAGAGGGTGGATGTAAGGAAAAACTTCCTAACAATTATATCAGTCACAAAGCGCGATGAACAACCTGGAGAAGTAGTGGAGACCATTCTTTTCCCCCTGAAGGTTTTCATGCAGCTGCTAGACCATTTGTTGGTGATTTTACAGAGAGGAGTCTTGTTCATATATGAGTTGGATTGTATGACCTCAGAAGTACTTTCTACCTCCAGTTTTTTTGTGATTCAATGATACGGAGCTTTATAATATAACTCTACAATGATTACAGTTAGTTAAAAAAGTCCAGATTTCTATTTTGACTTCCTATTTTCAGCTTTACAAACACTTTACAAACACTTTAGAAAAGCTTTACAAAGCTTTACAAACAAACCTAAACAAGGATATTTCCACTTGTTATTAATTGAAGTATCCAGTTTTATAGCACCAATTACATATTCAGTCATTTTGTAGCTGTAGCACAAAAAGGCCCACTTACGATTTTAATAATTTCTTTCTAGCATTACTAAAATATAAACAGTTATACTTTAAACATACTTTATGATATAAAACTACTAGTGTTTTACCTCAATTTAGAAAACAATGAAAATAATTTGGATTTTTTTCTCCCACATTTTAAAAAACAGCATAGCAGGAATACCTCTAGTACAAACGCATCTTTTTTTCCATGTGAGAGATCTAGTTCTATAACTTCATCAGAACTTTCAGACTGAGATCTTAACAATCTCGAACGCTGCCGAGGTTCTGGAATGGGAGATCCTATTATCTCTTCAGGTATTTCCTGAAATACAGAACATATTATATCATATAATTTTCCATTTTCAATAACAGAGAAAAAATAAAGAAAATGTATATAAATAATCCAATCAGAAAAGTTTTCCTTTGAGAATTTTCTTTATTCTTCAATAGTGATAAACACCTCCAAAGTAGAAGCCTAATAAATCCTCTCTGCTGGTAAAATTTACATGATAAATCATCACAGTAATTAACTATGCCTGGCTGTCTCAGAATATTGTGCTTATTTCACATCAAGCACCTATTCTGTGAGAGACATGATAGACCTGGAGGAAAAAGATAAAAATGAGGACATGAATGTGTTCCTTAGTTTTTTTCTCTGTTACATGGCCATAAACAATACCTGCAACCTATTCGGTTGGCCTGCAAATACCATGGGTCAGAAGACAGACCAAGAAAAGAGAGTGAGTGTATTCCTATAAATCTACCACTACTGCTGGAAAAACTCAAAGACAAAGGATGTGGTACAAGTTACAGGGTCTAAAAGGTCATTTATACATACTTACATATGTACATATTTGTGCACATATATATATATATGAAGAATATACAGATATAAAATTATTTGAACAGTAAATTTTAAAATTAATTATCAGTGTGTGTATTTTATGATAATTTATTTGGTGGTACTATTGTTAGGAATACATGGCAACAATATCCATGAAACTATTTGAAATCTGATACATCCTAACCTAATTTAGAATGGTTGCTCTCCAGAACTAAGAAAACAATTTATACAATAACATTACTAAATTCCTATTATCCAACACAATAGCCATGTGTTAGCTAGGGATCAGTTGGAAACTGATAAACAACACTGTACTAAGTATGCTACTGTGTTGAAATGCATAAATTTGTTTTACCTTGTTCCTATCTGATGAACTAACAGGTTCCCATTTCTAAAATGCAAAACAAATAAAAGATATTTCTGCTAATTTAAAAAAATTCATTTATTCACAGGTACTTATTAATAACTAAGGCAAAAAACTGAATTCAAATAAATCATTAAGACTGATAAAAGAGTAAATGGGACCCTAATTTACTAATTTTCTAAGTTCATGGCCTAATGTGCTTGCATGTATGCACATTCCAGAACATAAATATTGGAAGTAGAAGGGTCCATAGAAACCAGAGAGTCTAGCCCAGGGTAGGGACCCTGAGGCCTCAAGGATACACGTTGCCCTCTAGGTCCTTGAGTGCAGCCTTTGGACTGAATCTAAGAAAAAAATCCTTTTATTAAGGAGATTTGTTCTGTGAAGTTTGGATTCAGTCAAAGGGCCGGACTTGAGGACCTAGAGGGGTACCTGTAGCCTTGAGGTCACAGGTTCCCCACCTTGGTATAGTCTAACATTTTATAGACAAATAAAATGAGCCCCAAAGTAGTTAAGCTGCCTTGGTAGAAGAGCGATAGGAATACCTAGATACATCTGTACAAAACTGTAAGAAATATGTTTTGCATATTAATTACATCTTACAAACATCCAGTTAATATAACAGAACGGAAGAGAACTAGAAGTAATAGATAAATACTTCCATTTGCCAGAAGGCAAAGTATTACTGTATACAGATGTCAATATTGATACTTAATTTAAAGGGCCTCCATATCATGACCTTCAAAAACACATGTTCAAGTTTAATAAACTTATTGGACTATGTCTACACTACCCAGCTTTCAGGTTGGAACAACTGTTCCTGAAAAAACAAATATCAAGTGCCCAAATTACCTAGAATATATATGCATAGATATAGATATAAAGATATGTTCGACAAAAAGATATGTCCTACAACCGTACTTTAACTTTACTTAAAATCAGGTAAATATTTGTGCTCTAAAGATTAAAAATATAAAATGTAGTAGCAAAGAACTGGAAGTTGAAGGGATGCCCATTAATTGGGGAATGGTTAAACAGGTTGTAGTATACGATTGTGATGGAATACTACTGCGCTGTAAGAAATGATGAGCAGGTTTATTTTAGATAAACATGTAACGACTTGCAAGAGTGAAAAGAGCAGAACCAATAAAATGATGTATACAGTAACAGCGTTACTGTTTGAAAAAAAGCTATTCTGAGTATTATAAATATTACAAAGGACCTATGAAGGAAGATGTTATCCACCTCCAGAGAAAGAAAACTGATAAATACAAGTATGCATAGCATGGTGTGTATGTGCATATATATATACACACATACACACATATACACATACATTAAATGGTGGCCTTCTACTAACAAAGCCCAACAGCAAGAGACAGAAAGAGAAATTCCATTTAAAGTCACTGTAGACATTATAAAATATTTGGGAGTCTATCTGCCAAAACAAATTCCGGAACTATACGAACACAATTACAAAAAACTTTTCACACAAATAAAGTCAGATCTAAATAATTGAAAAAATATCAACTGCTCAGAGGTAGGCCAAGATAATATAATAAAAATGACAATTATACCTAAGCTAATTTACTTATTATAACAGTGCCATACCAATCAAACTACCAAAAAATTATTTTATAAAGCCAGAAAAAATAACAAAATTCATTCAGAAGAACAAAAGGTGCAGAATATCAAGGGAATTAATAAAAAGAAATGCAAGGGAAGGTGGACTAGCTGTACCAGATTTAAAACTGTATTATAAAGCAGCAATCATCAAAACTACTTAGTACTGGCTAAGAAATAAAAGTGGTAGATCAGTGGAATAGGTTAGGTATGTAAGACACAACAGTCAATGACTATAGTAATCTAGTATTTGGTAAATCTAAAGACCCCAGCTTCTGGGATAAGAACTCATTATTTAACAAAAACTGCTGGGAAAACTGGAAAATAGTATGGCAAAAATAGGGAGAGACCAACATCTTACACCCTATACCAAAATAAAGTCAAAATGAGTACATGATTTAGATAGAAAGATTGATACTATAAGCAAACTAGGAGAGCAAGGAATAGTTTACCTGCTAGATCTATGGAGAAGGGAAGAATTTATGACCAAACAAGAAATAGAGAATAGTATGAAATACAAAATGGATGACTTTGATTACATTAAATTGAAAAGTTTTTGCACAAACAAAGCCAATGCAACCAAGATTAGAAGGGAAGCAGAAAGCTGGGACACAATTTTTACAGCCACTATCTCTAATAAAGGCTTCATTTCTAAAATATATAGAGAACTAAGTCAAATTTATAAGAATACAAGTCATTCCCAAATTGCTAAACGGTCAAAGGATATGAACAGGCAGTTTTCAGATGAAGCAATTAAAGCTGCTATCTACAGTCATGTGAAAAAATGCTCTAAATCATTATTGATCAGAGAAATGCAATCAAAACGACTCTGAGGTACCACATCACACCTATCAGATTGGCTAACATGACAAAACAGGAAAATGATAAATGTTGGAGAAGATGTGGGAAAACTGGAACACTAATGCATTGTTGGTGGAGTTATGAACTGATCCAACCATTCTGGAGAGTAATCTGGAACTATGCCCAAAGGGCTATAAAATTGTGCATACCCTTTGACCCAGTAATACCACTTCCAGGACTACTTCCCAAAGAGACCATAAAAACGGGAGAAGGATACACATGTTAAAAAATATTTACAGCAGCTCTCTTTGTGGTGGCAAAGAACTGGAAATTGAGGAGATACCCATCAATTGGGGAACAAGTTGTGGTATATGAATATAATGGAATACTATTGTGCTATAAGAAATGATGAGCAGGTGGACTTAAAACCTGGAAAGATTTACAGGAACTGATGCAGAATGAAATGAGCAGAACCAGGAAAACATCGTACATGGTAACACCCATACTGTGCAATGAGTGACTCTGATAGACTTAGCTCTTCTCAGCAATGCAAGGACCTAAGACAATTTCAAAAGACTCATTATGTAAAATGCTATCTGTATCCACAGAAAGTCTGAGTGCAGATGAAAGCATACTATTTGCTCTCCTTTTCTTTTGTTGTTTTGTTTCTTCTTTCTTATGGTTCCTCCCATTAGTTCTAATTCTTCTCTACATCATGACTAATGTAAAAATATGCTTAACATGAATGTATAAGTAGAGCCTATATCAGATTGCACGCCATCTTGAGGAGGGGGAGAAAACTTAAAACTCAAAATCTTGAAGTGAATGCTGAAAACTAAAAATAAATAAACTGATTATTTAAAAAAAATGGTGGCATTCTCTAGTGTGGAGTAGGGAGAAAGGGAGACAGTTTGAAACTTAAAATGTAACAAAAAAAAAAATTAAATGTATATGTGCATGTGTGTGTGGCTTCTTATGTCTTGTACAATCTATTTTATTAAACGAAGACTAATATGTGACTACTACGGACCCAGAGCTGTGGACACATCTACGTCTTCTGCAAACTCAGTGAGAAATGTGAGTTAGTATGAAATGAATAGATTCAATATATAATAATGAAAGAAGGAAATGGAATCTAAGTGCTTTTTCTTCCTCCAAATCACTAGTCCATCAATCTTCTTCAAACTAAAGTAGTAAACTTTAAGGCAGCAAGTGAAATGATAGGGTTATGATCTTTATACTCAAAAGCTATAATGGGTGTGTATAACTTCATATTATATAGATATATCCAAAGTAAAATAATACACAAACATAGGTAAGAATAAAAAGCTAAAATAGTCTCATTATACATTTTACTTACAGGAGGATTGATTTCATATAGCTCTTTGTTCTTAGCTATTGTATCATTTATCTTTTTTTGCATATGAGATATATGTTGTTCATATGAACCATCATTTGGTGTCTTCCCAGCGATCTGGATACCACCAGGCGTTGGTAAAGCTGTTAAATATACACCTGTTGCAGACTTGGGGAAAAATAGGCAGAAAAAGACAGAATCTTCCTTTAACAATAGCAAAGTAAAAAAGAAATTTTCTGGCCCTCTGGCCCAAGAAAGAAGGGTCAATTAATTTATACAAATACTATTTTAAAATTTAAGCTAAAAAAAATTAAGCCTACATTGGGCTAACACTGTGCTTGGTAACAAGAAGGAATTAAAAAAAAAAAAAAGAAAAAACCACCCACAATACTTCTGTATTCCTCACAATACCTAGACACAGTTTCCTCAAGGACATAACAATCTAGTTATGATAAGAATTATGCACATAGGGGCAGCTAGGTGGCGCAGTGGATAGCGCACCAGACCTGAAGTCAGGAGGACCTGAGTTCAAATCCGGTCTCAGACCAAACACTTGACATGTACTAGCTGTGTGACCTTGGGCAAGTCACTTAACCCCAATTGCCTCACTTAAAAAAATTTTTTTTTTCCACATATAGAACAATTAGAGAACAGTAAAAAATAAATTATTTAAATACCAACATGTGATAATATATGTCAAAATAAGGGCAACGGGAGAAAGATGGCAGAAAACAGGGGATTTCATATTGCTTCTGAAGGATAAAACAAAATCCTTTCTTTCTCCAAATATTTCTAATTATCTAATAATTTTAATTTACACTCAATTAGCCTTTATTAATCATTATAAACATTTAGGACACAATTAAAACACACAAATTTTCTTTACATACAGCAAAATCTTATTATTCAGGCTTTATGAGTATTAACTACCAATATCTCTAACTGATTTGATATACTGAACTTTAAACTTATAGTGTGAAATATATTTGGTATTCATTAACTGAGGACGTATGGTTAAAGAACTGCTTTATGACTTCTCTAAAATGAAAATTGCTATAAGACTCAACCAGTAATAGGGAACCTGAGTAGAAGATGTGTAACCACGTCTTATTGGTGACTATACTTAGGCTTCAAGTGACCAACTTTTTTTCTGACATTCAGTTTATGTTCTCTTAAATTTAACTGTGATACAAGGCCAGTTGATCCTGCCAGCAGTAGACTTTATTCCCCACTGACATCTTTATAATAAAACATCATTTCATTTTATAATAGTAGTCAATGGGAAAAAAAAGTAAATGCACATATAATCCCTAATTTTCAATTTCTCACATTTCATTAAATTAATGGACTAGACCTATTTCACTATAACTTTTACTGTTGACTACAGTGGTATCCCTGAAGTATATGCACTTCATCAAGTCCAGTTTTCTTAGGTAGCTAAGAAAATAAGATGCCCCTCAAATACCTAAACTACATCATTTTTCTAGTAAAAGTATAAAAAATAGAGCATTTAATCAAATTTTATGATGGAGAAATGTCCATGAGAGGGCTGGCCAAAATTACTGACCGTCCTACATGTTGAGCTCTAAACATTAAAGCATCATAAACATGGCCTTGCTATGGTTATGGCCAATTGGCCACAACAACTGGCTAAGTACAAGAAAGGTCTTAAATGTGGGGGTCTGGGGGCCCCTATGCTACTTGAAACATTAATTCTGAGACTTAAGATTCAGTTAAAATTATCCCTAGATATTGGTATGGTAGACTATAGACTCATTTCACTACATAGATCTAAAAATGAAGGACTTAACCTACTACTTGAATAGAATCTACTACAACTATAGAAGAAGTCACAAAATATCCAAATAAATTTAAACTTACTGCTAAGCCCATCAACATATTTTCACCCACGGTAATCTGAATCCTAAGTCCAAACAAAGCATTCATTCCTTTGAGCTTTAGCTTATTCATTAACTGAGTGTGTACTTCATATTCCATAAATGGCAATAAATTGCTGATAGCGGTAGCATTTGCTTCTGCTTGAGCTTTCTTTTTTAAGCGACATAACCTGTCAAAAAAAGAATTTAGTTAACATTGCTCTCTTCAACAAAGGAACAGTAGAATCTCAAAAAAATGTTGCATTTTTATTAGTCAATTCATGAAACATGAAATTCCTACCATGTGTAAGCTAGTTCGATGTGCTTGAGATACAAAGATAAATTAACATATAATCTGTCTGTAAGGAGCTCACAATCTAACAGGAAAGAAAAGACATACACTCAAAATCTTGACCCTAGAGTTCACCAGTCCAACCTCACACTGTCCTCTACCTTTGAGTCCCATGCCCTATGTCACACTGCTGCCCATCCCTTCCCAAACTCCAATCCCATATCACTCTCACAAATCCACCGCTCCTATTCACTAGATGCTCCTATTGTTGCTGAGGAATGCTGAGAGAAAATTACATATTCAGGTGACTGAATCCCTACAAACTTATGTTATACACTCTGAAATGGGCCCTCGACTCTAATCCTTTTACACTTCCCTGAATGCCCTTCTAATTCCCCTCCTGACAGCAGATCTACACTACTCCTTCTGCCCCTCCAAAGTAAAGGACCTCATCTCATATTTCACTGAAAACACTGAAGCTTTCCAAAAGTGAACACTTCCTCCACCCCAAATCTATACTTCGTCATCTCAACATCATTTGCATTATTTTCTCCACTCTCATAACAGATGGCACGTAAACTTATCCACATAAATAACTCTACTTTTTTGCTCATGTCTTCCCAGTCTTTAAAAACCTTCAATCAGTTATACCATACTCTCATACTTTAATTCTTTATTTCTCCTTCCTTTCACAGCCAACACCGAAAAAGCTGTCTTCACAAAATGCCTCCATTTTTTCAACTCACATTCATTGCTTAATCCTTTGTAATCTTGGCTTCCAACTTCATCCCTCAACAGAATTTCTTAAGTGACAAATCTGACAGCCTTTTTTCCATCCTCAAACTCCTATTTGACAATGCTGACTACCCTCCTCCTAACTAGATACTCTGTCCGCACTAAGTTTTCATGACACTTCTATCTTCTGATGATCTCCTATTTGACTGGACCCTTCTCCTCAGACTCCTTTGCTGGATCACAATTTATGTCTCATCCCTCTGCATAAGCTTATTCCCTGGTTCTGTCCTGGACCCACTTGTCTCTCCACATGCTCTCTCTCTCAATGATTTTATTAGCTCCCATAGGTTCAACTACCATATTAATGGACAAAAAATTCTAACATTAAATCCAATTTGTATGGGCTATGCTTAACATACAAAGAAATTAATTAATTCTGTCTTGCTTTGGTAAACATACCTGGCTTGAATAAGACAACCTTTTCCTATAACCGTTGCATCAGTAGGAAGATCTATTGTTGTAAAAAGAACGTCAGGAACTTTTTGTTTTCTGCAGCTGTAGCAATAAGTGAGGTGAGCTGGGAATGGCATATTCAGTTCATCATATGGTATGTGACAAAATCCACAACCTGCAGGTAAATTTTCTTCTTGTCTAAAAATACATTAAGAAAAAAGAATTCTTGAAAAAAAAAAGCAGTTATGTTTTAGATATATATATATATATATATATATACACATATAAATCATATTAATACATGTACATAAACTATTTCAACATTCACGCTATTTGTTACAATGAACCAAGCAGAAGAGATACCAACTACAAATAGCCAGGAGGCCTTATGGTAGAGGGGCAAGAGCCTTGGGTTCAGAGTCAGAAGACTTGAGTTGGAGTCTTGATTCTACTACTTTTTACCAGGGTAACTTTAAAGCAAAATATTTCATCCCTCTGGAGTCTAGTTTGCTCATTTTCAAAATGAGGGAGCTGGATTAGATCACCTCAAAGGTTCTTTCTTCTAGTTCCACGATCCTTCAGGATTTAGGGTACCTAAAAATTTTCCAAATGTTATAGGGCAACAAGCTAATATAACTGGAAAATAATATCACATCAGTCATATATGTTTTGGTAACTTCTTGCAAGATGCACAATAGGGCCATCTCAAAAAAATTTTTTTTTATATTTTAAGCTTTTTTCACAAATTGTGATTATAGCATGTAGCACCAAACAATTAAGGGACAAGAAACAGAAAGTATTTCTTTTTTTATTAGCTATCTAACATATCCGGGAGCAACTAAGTGCTCTCATCTGAGTGCTAGAGCACTGGGTCTGGAGTCAGGAAGACCTGAGTTCAAATATGACCTAAGACACCAGCTGTGTGACCCTGAGCAAGTCAGTTAACCTCTGTTGCCTTCATTTTCTTATCTGTAAAAATGCGGATAAGAATATTACCTATCTGCCAGGGTTGTTACAAGGATCAAATGAGATAATAATTGTAAAGCACTGAGAATACTACATGGCACATACTAAACACTACATAAGTGTTTGCTATATAATATATATAAGTATGACATAAACAATATAAATTATTATGCAGAAAAGTTTCTGAAAAAATAATCTTAGGCACACAACTTTTAAAAACAGCAACTAAAAAAGATAATTTAAAATGAACAACAAAAAAACCCCTATTGTTTCCTTTATTTTTTTTGAGGCAAATAGGGGTTAAGTGACTTGCCCAGGGCCACACAGCTAATACATGTCTGAGGACGAATTTGAACTCAGGTCGTCCTGACTCCAGGGCAAGTGCTCTACCACTGAGCCACTCAGCTGCCCCCAAAAACATTCTTTTTTTTTTTTTTAAATTCTTAGGCAATTGGGGTTAAGTGACTTGCCCAGGGTCACACAGCTTGTAAGTGTCAAGTGTTTGATCTGAGGCTGGATTTGAACTCAGGTCTTCCTGACTCCAAGGCCAGAGCTCTATCCACTGTGCCACCTAGCTGCCCCTAAAAACATTCTTTTTTAAGCAGAGTTCTACATCAGAATCAAAGGGTCTCAATGAAACTCAAAATTATGTAAACATTGCTAAAACATCATTAATTTTCAGTAACAAACAGCACATATGTTTTTTGTTGTTGTTGGGGCTAAGTGACTTGCCCAGAGTCACACAGCTAGGAAGTATTATGTATCTGAGGGCAGATTTGAACTCAGGTCCTCCTGATCCCAGGGCTGGTGTTCTATCCACTGCGCCACCTAGCTACCCCTCATATGTTTTATAAATACAAATAGAAGCACTTTTAAAAACCCTTTGTTATCCAATATCATTGTATCATTTACAGATTTATTTTAGAAGTATTGTGCTGCTTCATTATCTTTTAAAATTCATTTACTAACTAGAAAGTAGGTCTAGGGATACAGGGGAGATTAAAGGGAGCACGAGAGTTTCAAGTGCTACACATACTCCCCATTTGCCACTCTCTCTCTCTCCTGCAGTTTATAATTAGATTGTGAGTAACAGAGAGTTTAAAGTAGGATGAGGATTCTCCCCATTACTTAGCAAATCTTCAAGATCTGAGTCCTAGGAACAGCCAACAACTCAAATAGGATATATTCCCACACAAATGTGGTATAAATGAGTCAAAGCTAAAAAATAAAAAGGATCAAAATCATGATGCCAAAATTGTATATTTAAAAAACATTCCCTATGTGAAATATTTTCATTTTAAAGACACAAATCTTTGATATTCCCTACACATGATACTTCTTCAGTCCCATGGACAACATAAGGGGGGGATCTGTCGGGCACTCCTCATTTTCTTTGTGACATGAGGGGTTGTAAAGGAAGTTTAAAAAAAACACAAAATTCTTAATTTTTGTTATATAGTGTACTTCCCAGGTTTTGGTGAACAGGCTCGCAGGTATAGCTAAACTGCTAAAATGTGTAAGGAAAATTCCAGGATAAAATAAACTCTGAAAAGGATCTGTAGATAGTTTTAGGCAAACTATAAAGTATCATTTCAGTTTTATAAGCTATCATATCTAAACTGAACTACAAATTATTAATAATTTGGGGTACCACTCCAAAGTCTCAGCTGAAGCTGAGATTCCCTTCTTAGAACACAGAACTAGATCATAAAAAAAGCCTCCAGGTTATAAGGCACTTTGCGTGAAAGTATTCAGTTATTTGGTTTAAAACTCTGGGCACCTGTCCCCTTAGTACAGGTTCTCCAAAAACTGGAAGAAACCAGGCCAAGCTTTGACATAATGTGCCTTCACTCAAATCCTGTAATTTCAATTCCTCTTAGCTGAACCCTAGTTCAGCCTCCTTTTTTTCCTGCAAAGTGACTGATAATAAAATAACATCTTGTCTATGACCAGAAAGCACTCTTTACCCAAAAGAAAACTTTATGAACTCCTTTAATATCATCAATACACTTTAAAAAGGAAATAACTTTTAGCAATAATAGTAATGTTTAAATAACATTCATTCAATTGTTGCATTCAATAGAATTCACTGTTTACATATTAGCAAAGGAGTGTTAGGACACAAAAACAACTTTATTATATTGAGGTAGACATTGCATTTATTAAAATGAAATGCTAATGAATTCATTCATTAGTAGACACTAGTGCCAAAGGAAAGATTATTAAAATATACACACTTGACAAGTGCACTTGTGAAATCTATCAGCATTTCCTTACTAATTATCTTTTTTCAGGGCTTTGAAATCCCTGGTCAAATTCCATTAAAACAAAAATGGAAGAAACCATTTAAATTCCTTTCTTGTGGCAGAATTTTGCTGCTTGAAATAAACAGGCCACCAAGTGCATGCTTTAATATCTTTTTTGTTACATGCAGACTTTTGATGTTGATCTACAAGGCATTTAACTAGAAAAGAAATTTTTGTTTTCTCTGTTTGCTATACAGTTAGCAAACTATAGTTTTGCATAGTACAGCAAAGACAACAGAATGTTCAAATAAATATACTAATGAATTCATTAAAAATGAGTTTTATACACCAGCTCAGTGATAATGGCAAACAGCCATCTCAGAAATTTGTAGTTCTGACTCAATGAAAATAGTTCAATAACAGTATATGCTTGCTATGTATTTAAAAGCATTCAATAATTTAAGTCAACTAAAAAACCAAAAAAACAAACTAAATTTCCCTTACTTTGATATAATGAAATCTGATTTTTAAAGTAAAAGTTCAATTTTAACTATACTTAAATTCTTTATTTTCTATGCAATTTGATTAATATGGTATCACGTACTATAAGTAACAGGTGAATTAAACAGTTTTCTTCAATTGAATGGCTTCATGAATGGCAGCAATGGAATGAACATATGAAAATTTTTTTTAAAAAAGAAAATTATTCCTCAACAGTGGCAAAAAAAGTACAAATTCTCTGGTTAGTATTCAAACATGTTACCTTATTCAAGCTGTTAGAAATAAAAATAATACATCTAATTTTGTGCAGAGTCCCATTACTTCTTTTGTTGCTGTTGTTAGTGAAAAATCAGTAAAGTGCTTGGTCCCGAATCCTGCACTGTAACACTGTAACCTACCCTAATAGAGAAGAACTATCCTGGCTCTGAGGAAAAAAATCAACCTCTCCCTTGTCTGACCCTATGGAAAAGAAGCCAGGCTGCCATGACAACCTTTGTTCCAAACAGCCTTCCACCGTGCCATCCTGAAGAAACCTAGGGTTCAGTACAGCTGCCGTGCCAGATGCGGATAAAATACAGACCTCTTCACTAGAAGAGAAAAGAATTATATATTAATTTTAACAAGTAGCTCAAAAGGTGATGATTTAAATACAACTTTTAAGACACTAGTAAGTACTATATATGAAAAACACTATCATCTTAAACAAAGTAAGAATTCAAAATCTAAGGAAGGAAATTTGTTTAACAAACAGGTGGAGGCAAATGGAATTTTCTTTACTACCAAGCATTATTTATCCAATATAATTTATACAATAAGCAGTTTTCCTTAAAATTTGACAGGACAAAGAGGTCTATAATATTTTAAAATATTAGCAATAACAATTTGCATTGTGAATTCAGTAATAAGTGAATTTAACTAAAATTTATTAAAAATAATTCAAGAAAGCTCAATTAGCATAAATTCCTCCAATATTAAATTTCATCTTATTCAAATTGAATAAAAGAAATAACAAAATTCTCTACCTGAACTATATTAAAGAACCTCATTGTTTTAAATGTATTAGGAAAATACAATTCTACAAAAAATTTAGGGTATTCTAGTAATTACATATTATTCAATTTAAGAAATAGACAAATATAAGCATTGCTGAGAAAAAATGTATTTAGGCTTAATCTGAATGATACACAAAATAAATATAATATCACAGGTCAGGAATACATAGAGTATGAAAAGGTTATCTCTAACTGATTTTTCACAAGGTTACATTGCTAGAAATTGCTTAGCTATAGCTGAATACATATATATGTATTCAAATCCAGGTCTTCTGATTCCAAATCCAAGATTCTTTCCAATAGTGATACTACAAATGCATTCTAATACTATTTAAGCAAAGCTTTTTAAATGTTAGCTTCAACATCTTTACACAAAACCTTTACATTTGGCTCAAGCTTTTCGCCTATTCATAAGACAGAAGAGAAACAGTATAGCTTTTAGAAACTCAGGTTATGATTATGATTTACCAAATACTAGTTGATTCACTGTAGCCCACTACAGCATGACAGCCTAATGCTTTTGCATGAGATTTTATTTCTTGTCTGATTTCTGCCCACCAAGCATCTCGAGTTTCTGGTTCATCTGAAAAACAAATAGTAAATCAGTTTGTAATTTGGGGACATAGTACCTATAAAGTGGCATATCAACTAAAGAAGTACTGAATAAACAAACTAAAAACTGTGGAGTACTGTCATAGAACATACTACAAATTATTTTCATATTTAAAATCCAATGCTGTTTTATTAGCTTGGTTATTTTATTTGTCACTGTCTGAAAACAAATTAGTCCTATAAACTCTTCACTAGCATTGCGTCACCAAGTAGAAATATATCTTCTTACATACCTTAAAAGTAAAGACACAACAGGTTCCAAACTCAAAACTTGGGCATTAAAATCTATGTCCCAAGAGAATACCTTATGTGTCACTTTCATACTGGTCAGGATTATGCAGATCTGACATCTTTTTCTTTTTTTAAAGCAAAACCAATACATTTTGTGGTTGAGTGTAAGGAATAATAATTAGGAAATGAATTCTCAATAGCTGTGGTAAGAATGATACACAAAAACAACCTAATAAAGTCCTTCCTTTCTGGTAAAAGATTTACCAATGTTAACTGAAAAGAAGCCATCTTTATAAAAACAAGTAGGACCTAAAGCAGAGAGATAAGAAGTAAAAGACTGACTAATCCAAAAATTTGTACTAAAAGAAAAAATAACACCAATAATTTGGCTCATTTGCAAAATGGGAGATTTTAATTATGACACAATTAACTTTATTTGTCACTCATACTCACAAAATGTCTTGAAATTATAGAATTGTGCCTTTCTTCAAGGGTGTACATCTTGCAAGTGATGTTCAGTGTCTACTCATCAAAGAACTTTCAAATGATCTATCTGCCACACATTTATCTGTGCCTTTATCTGCCTGCATTTAACTTGAAATAACCAGTGAGCAGAAGCTGCCAAAAATACTCCTTAATTATAGTAAAAGATGCTACAAACAAACAGAGACTAAAACAATACTGTTTTGTTTCCATTCATTGACTGCTCTCATGTATGAACAATTTAGTATAAAAAAAAAATCAACCCTGTCTAGATAGGTTGCTAACTAAATTCCTCTTTTGAAGTTCTTCCATATTAAAAAGTCTTATATTAACTCAATCCAAACATATATTTAATAGTGCTTACTGTGTGCTGAGAATGGTAGCATTTGGTAGGAACTAAGATTCAAAAACCATATAATACACGTTTCCATTTAGGAATAATTGTTTATGCCTAATTCTCAAAAACTTTTTCCCCCTCCAAAAAAAAAAAATAAAATAAAAGTATGCCTCAATACCCAGTGACAAAGAGGGAGAAGTAATAGTATATTCACTATTAGAAAATAGAAGAAATCAAAGTGCACACACACACAAAAATTAAAGAACTTTTTCTAGATTATACAGTAGAATATTTTGACTATTTTTCTCCTTGAGAAACAGAAGGATGAGGCAGGATATTTATACAATTTCTTTCAGAGAAAAAAGAAAGAAAGAAAGAAATGCAGATACTCAAGAAGTTGAAAAAAGGGCAAAAACAGGACTGAGATAAAAAAGAAAAAAGGAGAAAAGGCTGAAATGTTGGTGCTATCAAATCAGTCTTCTCTATTAAGAGGGATAATTAGATGGAAAACTGTACCCATTTGATACATGCTGCCTGGCTAACAGATAAACTTCCTAAAATGAGATTTTAACAAATATATGCAGTGCATAAGCATATTTAATCAACACAGTCTATCTCTCATAAGATTTTTTTTGTTCTCTCCTCTTTTCTATGACAGAATTTTAACATCTAAGAAAATTGGATTCTGGTGTCTAATTTAATCTTACTTTAAAATTCTAGGGGGAAAAAATAAGGAATGGTAGTAAAAGCATAACTCAGTTTAAGCACAAGTTATGGTCATTAAAAACTACAAGTAAATGATTTTTAACACAATGAATCGGGGCTCTTATTTTTAAAAATTGTAGGATAAAACTTTTATAATACAAAGAATCACTGTAAAATTTATTTGGCAAATATGGATTTTTACATAAAAATTTGCCTGAACCCAAGCTATCTAAAATGACACATTATGACTGATTTTCTTTTTCAAAAAAGATACAAACAAGATTTTTAAAAAATAAGGTGTGAATTGTAGATATTGCATTTTAAGTTCAATTTATAAACTTGAATGTTACATTTTTAAATGGCTAATAAATCTAAATTTAAAAGTATGTGTCATTACTTTGATATATGTACACACATAACACAGAATATATAAACACATTTAACTTACCTTAGTATTAATGCATAAAATCATCACATAATTAAACCAAACACTATGACATTGTAAGTGGTTAATACAAAACATTGAATGCAGTGTGAATGCAGCATTCTTATTTTTCTGACAAATACAGTAACAAGCAGCCTTTATTTTGACACATGAGCCACACAATTCCATATGGGGATGCCATTGTAATATTTACAAATTTAGTAACGCTAAGGATTTACATAACAGAGGAGCTAAAAAAGCAGGATGGCATGTGTCATACTCCAAAGGGCTTCTTTAATTTTGTTTGTGGCTAAAGCAAAAGCTCAAAGAACAAAAGGTTTGCAAAGCAGATTTAGCAGACAGTAGCCAGAAACAGTGGATATTTTGGCGCATGCTTGGATCAGGTGACAGTACAGACTGAGAACTATGGCAGCTCACTGAAATGGTTACAGAAAGTAATGGCCCTAGATTCTAGGTGAAAGCAAGGCAAGCATACGGTATGTAGCACTTAATCACAGGCTTTTCTGGTATAGCTACTGGTTACTTTAGCAAAAATTATCTAAACCTTTAAGCAATAAATTGGAGAAGATTAATTTTGTATCTATTATATCTGAGATATGGTCATTGAAAATAGTGAACTCATTTATTTAGTATTTAAGAAAAGTTTAACTTTGTTCAAAATCTACATTATGTTTAGACCAAAGCGAGCTATAACACCATTAAGTTAATTAGGTTTTGCCTAAGTTACTAATGACCAAAATTCAGAAAGATCTGGTATCATAAAACTGAAAATACTGAAGTCTTAAAAGCTATGTTAAATTTGTTGTCACAGAAGATGTATTCATAATTTTTTACATGGGGCACAAAGAGTTTAAGTTGAAAATTTTAAAAATACACCACTCGAGCTACCAACATAAAAGGTAAAATAAAAAATGATTATGGCAATAACATGCCACAAGTGAAGTCAAGCAGAATTGGGGTATTTGAAACTTAATTTTGAAGGCATATGACTGAGATGGGTGGGAAAATAAATTTTTCTAGGGATTTTTAGAGGTATAAGGCAAAGAAGTTCCCTCAACATTAAACTACTTTCCTAACAGTGATTTACAATTTAATCAAAAACAATGGACAAATGCCAATACTTTTAAATAAAATTTCTTTTTTTCTGACTATTCATGGTATTTTGTGGCTTTCTCTCATACAGCTCAAATCTCCTTATAGAGTCTTTTAATATCCCTTTTTTGATCTAGAGATAATTAAGCTGCAATTCAATTATCTCATCTCTTCATAAGATGAAACATGACTAGATGGACAAAACTGTGCTAACATTACAATAAATTCAACTTTGCCAAAGTTGAATCTTTAGGCTACCACTATAATTGGGGTTTTATCTTGCCATTTTGGAAGAATCATCTTAAGCAATAATATTGAAACTGATTAGTATTTTCTAATAAGATATCTCTTGGTTGAGCAGTAAAGTGGTGACATTATGTCAATAAACATTTATAAAGACTCTTCTTTATAGATAGCAAGGCACATTTTTTGTCATCATCCAACATTTATTAAATGGCTCATCAAAGGGGCAAAGTATTTACAGTTTGGATTACTCATTCTACCCTAAAGAAGCTTATAAAATTTTGTTTGGAAACAAAAAGGGAAACTGAACAGTCACCCTATTCAACCTGATTTGGAGAAGAGCAAGGAAGTGAAAAAGATAATATGATATTAAGGCAAAGTTTACATTTGAAAGAATGAATTCAACATAAAACTCAGTTTAAAGGAAATATACACACTACACTGGGATGAGGTGCCAAACTGTCAACAAAGAGCCAGGTTATAGGGCAAAGTCACAAGGATGGGACAGCTTAGGATGTGATAGTTTAAAATTGGGGGATAATAGCATAGCAAAGTCTATGTGGATGGCTAGAATATCTCTGGAACTTAATTGGATGAGGGACAGCTTAGGACATTTAGTCCATTCAATAATCTTATAATTTCACCTAAGAGATCACGGAATAGTATCTATACAAAAAAAAATTAACATTTCATTATTTATGAAGAAAAAGTTCATGTACTATAGATAATAAATTTATCCCATTTAAAATTATTTTCATGTAATATATACATATAATACATTTATCTCATTTTAATAAACACTTCCTCACATTCATGGAAATGATTTTCCAAATGTGGAAAAACAAAATTTGTTTAACTTTACAATGCTCTGGTTTCCCTAGTATTAAATATCACATATAGTGAAAGAATAATTGCTTTATCAACGTATTCCTAAAGAGAATTCCAAGGCAACCTAATTTTTATTTAATAAATTCCACACACATAGCTAGTTACAATACAAAGCAAGATGCACATTTTCAGCAAATGTCACTCAAAACTCCTTCAAATTAAACCAAATTCAATGCATTTGGGTTGACAAATGAATCCGTACATTCAGGGAACAAGGTTTATTTTCTTATAAATGAGCTAACTTATGCTTGTTAGAACTCAGTACTATTATTTTTCAAGATATATTTTTGAATGCTCTTTTTTCTAGATTTTGCCCATTCATGTGGGAGGGGGAAGAGAGAGAACTAATAATATTCTAGAACAGTATTTTTCAACTTATGAACATTCATTTAAATTTTTTCTCTATTGGTCTAGAAAGTCAATAATTACATTTCAATAAGAAAACATGAATAGTGATCGAATTAAAGTGAGATGTATACTAAACCCCATCATCCACTCTAATATGGATTTTAGAAGAGATTTCAAAAATCTCTTCCAAAGCACAAGA